TCATAGCTGATGATTCAGTAGAAATTATTAAGCAAACATCAGGTAAATACCTGTCAGTTGCTGCGCCATTCTCGGGGAGGGAGCATTGAATTGCACAACCGAGAGCTCTTAACCCGCATTCCCATGTGGAGGAGGTGGTAGAGTTCCCTCCCTCCATCATGCCAATACCTCACTATCTAGTGACGTTATTACTGGGTCTATGATTAACTTCCTGTATTGACAATCATATAACACGAGGGGCATTGGCACAAATCCAGTTTTCACACTCTCCCCAAAATGTGCCAAATTCTATGGGAGGGATAATAATTCCAATTCTGCGTCACCAAATGGCCACCCCCTCTCTGTCTGTGGCATTTAAGGCATAAATCTCTCAAATATGTCTACATTTTAAATGCCTGCATTTGTATTCGGGTTAATGGAATTGTAAATTTTTGGATTTCGTCTGGCTCGAAAAACGAGTTATCAAAGTTGGTCGACCAGACACATATTGTTAGGGAACTAATCAGGTATTAACTAGGGAACATATGATATTTTTTATTATCCCAAGGAGCTAAGCAGTTTAATATAAATACAATTTAATATTTAACAAGAAAGAAATTTAACTTCGTGATAAATAATAATTGAAATAAAATAATTGCCCTCTTTGAATTATTTATACATTTTTATATGACAATTTTTATAGAAAATCGATGTTTTAAATAAACTCTTAACTAAGCCCCTCTGTCTGGTATCAGACATTGCTATATCGATTCGGCTGTTGATGCTGATCAAGAATAATATATAATGGTTTGGCTTGGCAAGCTTCTGAACAAATTATAATACCCTTGAAAGGGTATACAATTTTATTAGAGTTATTTCTGGAGAGGGCATTCAAGAATCGGTTTTCATATTGGATTTTGATACTACACGAACTTGTTTTTTTTTATAACAATGCAAGCACTGATTTTAACAGGTTTTTGGAAAGACAATTCCCTGAATTTTGCATTAGGAAAAGGCGCCAAGTATATTTTGATTATAGTCTCTCTTCACTTTTAACACAAACTATATACTATACTATACTATACTAAATATCCCTCCAATGTCTCTATAATCTAAACGCTTTTAGTAACACCTCTTAGTTTACACTTAACTAATCTGACGAGTTGTTGGGGGCCCGTTCAGGTTTAATAACTATTCTTTCAACCCACGACTGCTTTTGCCGCGCTATTTGCGCATTATCTAATAGCAGAATTTACCCCACCGCGCAGTTTGTTTAGCAAAGGCAATAACAACAATTAGCGAAATAAAACAAAACAAAACTGAATGAAAGTCCTGTATAAATGCTGCCGCTGATAAGCGCCATCGCGCACAGTACTTCTCACTGATAAGGCCAAAGGGTCTCATAAAAACGCTACACCGCTGGCCAGGCAGACGAATTAACAGCAAAAGAAGCTGAAATCGGAAGGCGTACCAAAAAAAAAAAAAAAGTACCGGCTACATGAGTTAAAAATAGATCGAATAGACGAAAGCGTCTCATACGATTTTTGGCGATGACTAAACAGCTCCGTGAACCAAATATGGTAGACTTGAAATGCCAATAACAATAATGGAACAAGAATTGAGCAGGTAGATACCTAGTAACTATTACTAGGCTTGTAAAGTGAATATTATTTACAGTGTACATTTTATAGATTGAAAGATACAACCATAATAAATAGTTCTCTATGGGTTTTTTAAAATACGGAAATATATATATATTTTTATAATGTATTCTTCTTTGCTTTAAATGTTTTAATTTGAGCTGTGATAAATACTTCGTAGTGAGAGATCCGCTTTGGGAAAGTTTGCTATCATTAAACTATTTATGATGATTAATTTGTGGTCACCAAAAAAGATTTTTAAAAGCATAAATATAAATGAACATAGCACAAAAGGGACCCGTTTAGCATATTTGAACTTGACGCTTGCATTGTAGCTTTAATTCCCAACAATAATAATAATAATAATTCTTCGAAATTACTAGGGTATTTAAATTTCTTATAGAATGTAAAAAAGGATTCAAATTAAAAAAATTGGGCTGTCATTACTTACATTTTTAAATAACAAATAATTTATGCTCCTAATTTCACTTTAATTTTCTAAATAAATTTAATCAAATCGAACCTAATCTATTTCATTCATTAAATAGTCATGATTATGTTTTGTAATTTATGTAGTAAAATTCGAAACCTAATTTTGTTAAATTATTAAATACGAAAAGTTTTAGATTCCTAATAATATTATCTAATTTAAAAGTGGGAATATTGTTTTTAAAAGACTATCCAAAAAGTATTTTTGCTGATTACAAAAACTAACCAAGTAATATAAATCGAAACCGAATTGAATGTAAAGAATTAAATTCAAATAGTTGGCATTTTATTCGGCGCCCTATATGCGCCAATTGGCTGTGCCAGGTACAAATACACGTACACAGGTGAATGTGGCCCGGAATCACTCCGATATCATTGGGCCCATTACTCTGGTTATTTTTCGCGATGATTGCGCTGGCGTTTGCAGAAATGGGAGAAGCACCGTCCCGCTAAGGGGAGGGGCGGGAGGAAGGTGGACGAGCGATTAAGGCGAAGTTTGGGGTCCAAAGTAACCCGAGCAGCGACGTCGCGTCGCAACATGTGCCGCGATTATGCGACCGAAGCAGCGGTCCCAGCTTTTTGGTTGCTGGATTTTCGTTGGCCAGTTTTATTTTTTATTTCGGCTATCACGCGCGGAACGCGTGAACGAGCGGGAAACTACATTTCTTTCGTTTTCTTTATGCGGGCACGTGTCCCAGCAGACTCACCTGTAGGCAAGGTTCATGCACTTGAAGAGCTTGGTCAACGAGGTCTCGATCTCCAGATGGGAGGTGATCAGGCCCATGCTGCTCTCGTCGCCCTCCTGGTCCATCCGGTTGAAGTGGGCCACCGTCTGGGGCACATACAGCTGGACATCGCGACAGGTGTTGGCCGGTTCGCCCGTCTTGTCCAGACTAGGGTCCTCGGGATCAAGCATCTTCACCTCGCCATCATCCTCGAGGTCGTCCTGCGCCTCCTCGGCCTCAAAGTGCGACACCATGAACTGGCCAGAGTGTATGGATTCACGCTCCGACTCGGCAGCGGCGGCTGCTGCCGCTCCAGTGCCTCCAGTTCCATATTGCAGGTGCGGGAAGATGGCTTGCTGCGGGATTTGCTGCGGGATCAGCTGTGGCTGCTGCTGCTGCTGCGGAAGTGACTGCTGCTGGTGGGAAACATCTGGCTTGTGCGTTGATAGCTCTCGTATTTGTTCAGCATCATTTTTGGGGACGAATTCGAGGGGATGTCTATGCAAATACTTCACTCTTGGATTTTATTGGTCGTGACGGGGCACATTTAATGGTTTTTTAATGTCTCTCTGGCAATTAACTACTGGCACTGGCCCTTTTTCCGACTGGTTGGGGTTTTTCCATCGCTCCGAAAGCGGCTCGCGGGTCAAATGGTAGCTGATAGCGCTGAGATTGGTACGAAAATATTTATCGTGATTTACTGGACATTAGCACATTTATTAATAAACACACTAAAGCGAGCTGTTGGTCACTAATTAAATTGCTAATTGGTGCGGTTCCTTAACGAATCAATCGTTGATTTGATAGCGACACTTTGCGTTTTCCTAGCTTTCCGCGATACCTACACCTGGTCCGCTTGGCGGCTTTTCCGACCAACAACACGCCCCGCTTTTGCCGTTAACTGCGTCACAACGAAGCACACAATAATAACAATATTAATCGCGAGCGTAGGAGCACCGGAGGGGACTGGGACGGAGACGTGGACGTCAGAGAGCGAGACGTCAGTAGTCGCGCTTCTTCTTACCGCGCGGGCAATTGCTGATAATGGAAACTCAATTGCTGGGCGATCGACAAAACGCTCGAGAGCACGCGCGGTTCGGCTTGTGGCAAGCGGTGGGAGGCGGAAAAGATTGGCGGTGTGAAAAGAACGAGCGGTTCCATTCCATTCCACAAACGGAACTGATCGAAGAACCGAGCTGGAAAGCGGGCGAAACCTGTGCGGCGCGCACACAACCAAAACAATGAACAGCTGACGCGGGTTTTCTCTCTCTCTTTTGCTCCCCTTTGCTTATCAGCACGGGAATGAAGGAATGCGAGGAAGAGCGAGCGAGCTGGCACACGCACACACCCATACACCCATGCAGAGGCCCAACAAAGGTGCCTCTAGTTGGCTTCCTGCGGAAAAACAAAACAAACCAGGAACTTGGGCTTGCGATTCCCTTCTCCAACCTTGGGCGCTCAAAATTCCAGTTTCCGCGCTCCGGGTGCCACAAGCGTTTGCACTTTTTGACCTCTGGGACTCTGCCTCCGTTTTTCTATTGCCTATTTTCTGTGCCCACACACACACGCGCACTCAGCGTTGGGGCGCAACTGCACGCATCGACGACGCACACACGCGCACTTGCAAAGCTGCTACGTAGTTTAATTACACTTTAACACATATTAAGTAAATGCGAGGAGCGAGCCCTCGCCCTCCCACGGTTGTCAAGGTATCGTTTGGCTGATAAACACCAAAAGGGCCTAAAAATGGCCGACGTAAGGCGCAATTGTGAGAGACTATCGGTAGGCGAAAATATCGTTCATATTTCCCATCCTCAACAAAGGGAATCATTTTGTGAACGCATTTATATTAGATTAAAAGTGGATAATTTAGAACTCTCGGCCTTTACTGAGTTAGAGGGCATTTTTTGCACCCAGTTTCTCAATAAGTGAAATCGATGTATCGCCTCTGCAACACGACAATAGTATCGATATCGACATCGACTTTCTTCCAGCTCTAACGAATCTATCGGTATCGTCATTATCGTTCCAAATGAAACGCAAAAAAGTTCAATATTTACTTCCTTCAGCGATTTCGGCATTTATATTGACGTAAAGATGGCTCTATAGATTGTGCGCAAGCAAATCAACCTGCACCTAGGTGCCCCAACACACAACAAAATGGAAACGTATAAAAAGCAAACGTAAGTAACCCAAAATCGAATGTTCGAACGCTAATTTCGCAATGTCTGTCACTTACACACACTGCCGCACTTTGGCGTTGCACCGTTTCTGTTGCTGCAAGCATGTGTGTGTGTGGGCTTGTACGGATTCTCGTTTAGGCCACAATGCAGTGTTAACGTGGCATATACAGTTACCAATTCCAGTCGAAATCCAAGGCAATGGGGCATGCAACCAGGTAGAGAAATTGGCTGACGCAATAGCTGCCTGGAGTTGGGTAATCCGCGTTGCAACTTGCAGCACGTGTGAGAGTTGGGAGATGAGTCATGCAACAGTGGGCTCTCCTTACAACAACCAGCACACGATTTCTCCGAACCATCACTGTTGCACCACCTGCAACGCATTTCCTTTGTTCGCTTTCGCTGGAATAGAGAGTTATTGTATGTCCGATCATGGGAAATTGCTTTTCCACCTAAACAGAAATATTTATTGTGTTTAATTTTTGTTTTTTTTTATATTTGATATTTGTAATTATTACTTTCTAAGTAATTTTAGATAATAGATAAAGCCGGGATACTGTTATTCTGTATATTGTTGAATTTTTAAATGTTTCTGGATTAAATCTTTAAGTAGAGTGCTAAAGTGAATAGTTTGAAATATATTTAATTTTGATATGTGTATCCGATCGCAAACTATAAAACTAAAGTTTGGGTGACACACACACCGACGTATTAGGGCAGGCCCACGGACATGCTCGGCTAGCGATTAGATATGAGCGTCTGAAGTTTAAGTTCAAAATTTGATTTTCACATTATTCCGTTGAATTTGGTCAGAATTCGGGGTCTGAAGGGGTGACGACAGCTTATCAGCATGACGATGCACGCGATTCTGCTTCATTCGCGTCTTCGGAGGGGGCTTAGTGCACATCAAACAGTGCGGGCCATGCAAGTAATGCTCAGTAATAGTGTAACAAGGCTTCACCTGGTGAACTCTGATTGTGATTCGTCTTTTTGCAATCTATTTCAGCGCCATCATGGCATCCTCACAACAACAACAAGCACAGCAACAACAACAACCCATTGCATTATTCAGTCCGGACTTTTCTCTCGCATCCCAAAGTATATCACCTGTAACTTTTGATTTTAACAACTTTGAATATGGACGCAACATCATTTCAACAAACCATGGAGAGCTTGCAGCTGCCCAAGGAGCTTTACTGGGACCTCAAGCTGGAGCCGCAGTCCCCAACATCGGCGGCGGCATCCTCCGATCTGTTCGCGCTCACTGAGCCAACAGATGCCGAGTGGTTGTATGACGATAACTTTGCAAATGGTCTGTGCTTAATGATTGCTATTATAGGATAGAGAATTAAAGTTTTCCGGTATCTTGCAGGCATTTCACTTATTGGCAACGGCGAAGATCTGACCCTGGACGAGGCAGCTTCACTTGAACTGCTCAGCGATGAGGAGCTCGTTGTGGAGATCTTTGATCTGAAGGATGAAGGTAAGTTTTTTGAGCAGGCCTAGAAAAGCAAAGTGTGTAAAATTCTCCACTAGAACTAAATATAGTAAATTTTTAGTAAATTTTAGATATTAGCATTGACAAAAATATGCTATTATTTAAAAACAAAAACAAGTTAACTTTAAAGCTGAATCATAGGTTTTTCATATTAATAATAACCTTATCACTTCTTGCCTTCTTTTCATTTATTTCAATTACTTTCCAAAGGCTAGGGAACTCGAAACAATAATATATGCATAGGTCTATAAAAAGATGAATTATTCAGCAATTGCCAAAATAAAACTCCTAAATAAACCGCCTTATCAACGAAATTCGTAATCTATAAAAAACTGAATCAAACCAAAAGGCAATAGTATACAAAATAAAAACAAGAAATCACTTCAGAGACAAAATATATAAAAATTAAAAATGCAGTTGAACTTTGAACGTCTGCAAAACGCGCTCATCAGGTTTCTGTTTCTCGAGACAATATTACAATTTGCTTGTTATCTAATTGTTTGCTTTGTTGTTTTCTATTCACTTTAACGCACTTTTCTGTCTGATTCGTTAAGGGGCACGCCAATGAAATCGTTTTGGCCAAACAAAAACAATCGAAATATTTCCGAAACGAGACGAAAAATGTTCCCCCTCCAGACAGTTGAAGTTGGTAAACCGGATTGTGGTTCGCTTTGTTTCGTTGGCGTATTCGCTGGTATCTTGGTCAGCATTAAGTTTAGCAGCTTGTTGTTTTGTTGCTTATTTTCACTGCGCTCGTTATAATAATTGTTTATAAACGCGGCCCACAAGCCACCAGTACTGGCCAATTGCATGGAATCTATAAAGGCCGAGAGCGAAGAAAAGAGCAATGAAATTGGAAGCAGTTTCTGAGCCTTTCGCTTCGATTGATCACGCGCCAAATGAATGATCATTGGATCTCTCTTCGATGCTCTCTTTGGAATACTCTTCCCACTCTTGTTTTGAGCTCTAAGAGAATCTCGCAGATAACAGCTGCTTGTGTTTGCTATTTCGTATAAGAATTGTTTCAATTCTTGGCATAGCTGAGCTCTCACCTCCTCCTTTCGGCCGCCCGAACAACTTCAAACCATTCAAATTGCCAACATGCTCGTAATGTTGGCCTGAAGGTTAATCGCTTTTCGGTTCTGGTTTGTGTGAAAATGTAAACCAGAAACTTAACCTGCAGATAAGTTCACGGATTTATCAACTTGTGCGATCATTGAACCATTTGACGCAGTTATGGTATGGAAATTTTTACGGTATTCTTGCTCATAATACATATCCTGAGTATTTTTAGGCAGGACAGAGGAAACTTCTTTGTTTCAAAATGCAAATTTAACCTCTGGTGGACGTGCCCCCATTTTGGTAATGTCTTCTCTTTGGGGCTTGGCCAGCAGCTGTGAGATTGCTAAAAATATCTTTAATCCGGGGAAGAGAGCGAGAACTTACAAATATATCTCTTGGGCCCAACATATGTATATCCGTTTGGGCTGTAATAAGTAAACAAATGGTTTATTATTACGGAAGTCACTATATACCACAGTTGCTATGGGCTGCAGGCGGACTTCAGTCTGATTTCCATGCTGTGCAGGTTAAACCGAGTTCAATGCACATCGCACACCACCTGAGACTTGAGAAGTGTCAAATTCCTGGGAGCAGCGGGCGGGGTGTGAATCTAGAAAGATTTAATTTCTTATAGCTACTTACATATATGTGCAAATCGGTGGGTTCGATTGCGGGCGCGAGAGGTGGGGGTGATTGACTGTATACAACATTAAGACACAGTTGATAATAATGCTATTTAAGAAAAAACAAGCACTTAAAGGCCCCTCACCAGGAACAGTGGTACTATATCATTTCTTGATATGATAGGTATATAATCCTTACATTTTGGATAATTATGGTTTAATACTATCGGTCAAAAAACAACAGGAAAGCTTTCTTAACTAATCCCAAATCCTCAGGAGTATTTCAAGCATTTTGATTTAGGATCCTTTTTAAATATTCTGAACATGAATTTTAAGAAGAAAACCTATGAATTTGAATCAACTAAAGTTTCTTAATAGTGCGAAATATCATTTGTGTAAATATAAAGAGATTGTCAAAAATCTAAACATAGTTCCTAAACAATTTGTCTTTTTTAAGGAATTATATGATATCAATTTAATATATTATTTTATATTGTCTTTAATGACATTGAATATTTATTGATATTTTAAATTTGTATGTATCAAACGAAGACATTTTCGAACAGAAATTAAGCGCAATATTTTTGTCTACATATTATATTAGGCTTTTCTACTACGTACACAGTCCTAGCTTACTTTTAATGTTGAGAGGCATTATTATATTTTCTTTATAGTTATGTTTACTAGTTCGTTTTTAAAATAAGACTTACTTATATCTAAAACCTTATTGGAATAATTAGCAGCTACCTGCTTAAATGAGAAAGTATTACTTCAAAAATCAAAACGGAAGTACTCCAACTTCTTGAAGGTTCGAATGCATCTTAAGTTTGGCCATAGCTTTGCCCATTTCCGCTCCACTGTGCCCGAGTTCGTTCGTCTCGGCTCGACCTGACTCGTGCCGCTGCGCTCGCGGGCTGGCTTGTGGCTGCTGATAGCATCTCGGGCTGGGAGCAAACAACAAGAGATTGATCTGGTTGCAGGGCCCGATCTTGATGTGCGCTCTTAGCTCCCCAGTTCTCTCTGTGGAGCGCTCCCGCTGGGGGCCAGTTGGCCAAGCAAAAACCTCATTCGCTCCGCGATCGGAACTCAGTTGAAATCGTTACCTCAGTCCGCGAACGTTCGGATCGAAACTCGGCTTTGACTGCGATCGCACCGCTCTGCTCTGCCCCGCCCATCGCCTCGTCGCCGTCTTGGACAACACAAAGAAAACTGCCCAAAGCGAACGGATACAATAACAAATACGCGGAGCAGCACAAACACACGTCTTGGCGTTTTCGAAACGCAAAAAAAAGACGAAAAGGAAAACATTTTTGAAATTTATTTTGTTTCAATCAATACGCCCAAGGAGCACACATTTTTTAATGGTTCTGATAAGGAAGGTGTGGTGCAACAGCAAGAACAAATCGAAGCAGTTTTTCTAAACTGCATAAGGAATCGGAGGAAGTGAAACTAAGGTCCTTGCCCCATCACCTTCAGCAACGGCGCCAAAGAAAACGAAGCGAGTTCGCTTGAGGAGATTGGCAGCTGTGCAGCACTATATGTAGCCAGCCAGAAGAAGGAGCAGACTGGACATCCCAGCCAAGAGACACACGCGATACCCTGAACATTCGAGTCCAGGCGTTAAGGACTTTGTGAGCATGATACCACACTGTGGATACCGTTACATGTGGAACCGTGAAATTGTGATCAATTCGCAAAAGTTGGTGAAACGACGCTAAGCAAGCAGACTGTCCACCGAAGCTGTCCACCACATTGCGGCAGCAGTTGAGTCCCACGGACAGGCATACAGGATATCGAACAGGAGTCGAGGGACAGACAGACACAGACACAGATCAGATTTTCCGCTCTGGAAACTTATAAGATACTTTCTGCCACGTGTTGAGTTATTGAGTTATTTTCCATTATTTGTATATTGATTTTTTTGTTACGCTATTTACTCGGCCTAAGTGCTGGACCAACAGTGTGGTTCTCCAGCCAGTCGCCTGTACTTTCAAAATTGACTCTGTGATTTTTTTACCCCCTCTTCTATTGCGATTATTTCAATATATATAAATCATATCATTATTTACGAAGCGCATCTCGTTAACACTTAGCAATCTTAGGTTCTTGTCTAATTCTAGGTACATTGATTTTTGATCAATATTAGTTAAGGTTCTTTTGACAATTAACTTGTTTAGTTTAGTTTAAATATCCCATATACTAGACGTTACTTTATTACTCTTCTTCTACTGCCCGTACTTTTACTCGATCGAAACTTAAGAGACGATTGACCTTACAACATACATTCCAACATCACGATTCACTGCTGCCGCAAAAATGAGTACATATATATTTATGCAAGCCTATGGTTAGTATGGAGTTGATATACGATTGGTTCTGTATCTTTTTAAGTAGATATATGTTATCCTTTGGAAAGTTATTTTATAAGTATATGAGGATAGTCTCAGAATCTACTCTGCATAAATCCTTTACTTATAACAATAGTAATAATAATTCTACATTTTATTTGCAATAGCACTCTGGCATCTTTATGTTCGAGTTGCTTCGGTCTGACCCACTGCATCTTATCATGTCTGGTCACTTATCTCTACGAGGGGAGCAGCAACCACAGGGCAGTGATACGTGATGGAACACATCTCTCTTTCACTGACTTGACTGCACACTGTGGAGAGATGTGACTGCCCAGCTCACTTTTTGGGCAAACTCTGGGCTGGGGTGGTGATGGCTGCTCCTTGATGACTTTCCGGTCGAGCGGGTTTTAACGCCAACTTGCTGGCTGCTTCGTACTTCTTTCATTGTCTCGTTTTGATCGCTTTCAGTTCAATATTTATAAAATTCATTTGCATATTATGACTGGACTTGTACTCTTCGGGTTGCCCATGTTTTGTTTCATGTTTTTGGGGCGCGACTTGTGAAAATAACAAATAACCACATCTTTCAAAAACACTGAGCGAACAAACTACTAGTAATCACCTCAGCTAAGACTAGACAATTCTAGATTTTGTTCTAGCATAGATAACCTCCAATACGATCTTTATTAGACCTTTGTAACCTTGACCTAATAACTATGTGCGAAAACATATGACAAAAGGATTTTCCAATCGAGTCATTCCAAATGAGAAAATGTTATTCCACTTTACAAACAATTAAATATGGGAATTTTACATTCTGTTCCTTGTAGATCCCCAGAAATCTTGCATTGTTTTTTCCTAGGCAAACTAAACCGAGTTTCATTGCACATTTATTCGTCGACGAAGGCATTTTGTGCGCCAAGGTTGTTGCTAATCATGTTCCCATTAATTATTAATACTTATATATATTTTTTTCAAACGATTGTGCTCGGACTGACGTTGTACTATAGTCCCGGTCGTTTTTGTGCGATATTTGCGAATTGACAACGACGTCCGCACTCGATTTAATCGCTCTATTTGCTTTTACTTTATGGAGGAGTCGGGGTAAGACTTAAAGGAAGAATAAAACTTGATTTAAAACAAAAAAGACTCTAAAATAATTGATTATTCAATTGACAGAACATAGAGCCTAAAAAGGTGTTTCAATAGATAATATTAGGGTGCATAATCCGACCCACAATGATCACATCAATTCCTATTTATGTCCATTTTTGCAATTAGCAACAATCTGGAAGGTACGAGTGTTACAATAAAATGCATACAACAATTTAATATTGTAATAAAGCAGGGCTAGGCGTGGCAACGACAGTCTCTAATGCGAGATTTTTATGTAAATCAATTAATGCAGTTACAGTTTGCTCTGCTTTTACGTATGCAAGCGCAGCTGCTCGCAAGGAGATTGCTATATGGTTGGGAGGTACAGGGAGGAACAGATTGATCGGCGGGAAAACTTGTTATGTTAATGGAGAATCGAGCTTGGGGAGAAGTGATTGTGACTGGCCCCAGCCCAAGGTGTCGCTGGGTCAATTTTACAAGCCAAACAGGTGTTGCCACAATACTTCTCGAAGGTTGTAACGCCACCTCAGACACTGGGGAAAACTCTCTCCTCGTGATTTGGCTGTCGACCATCAACGAATTTATCAAATAATCAAAACCATCGATGATGTCGTCGAACTTAGTTCTCTTCAATAAAAGCGAATTGAAAACAACTGGAAATCAAGCGTGTATATGGAGGGGAAAATATGCCACAATCAATATGCAAATGTTTACTAGAACGAGATGCGAGCGTTCGCCGCGCGTCCTTCACTTCAATGGAAATAAGTTTCAATTGAGAGTGTGGAAAAATATAGAAAACAACATATAACTTTTGTCGGAACTACGACGCATTTGTCACTTAATAGACGGAGGGGGAAGTAACAAAAGGAAGTTGACAAGAAAAATGGTAGATCAAGATATATAATATGTAATAACTAAAGATAACCATAAGGCTTTTGATATTCATGAGATTATGAAGTAGAGGTCGTTAATGGGTTGTTATATAACCCTTTTGAGCATTTTACTCATTGAGCGATCGTCTAGCTTTAAATAGTATCTTTCTTTTGACTTGTTTTTCACATTTTCTTTCACCCAATTCAAATAGACGAAATGCTACGAAATCTAATATTTCTCCACTATTATTGTTTGTTGTTGCTGTGATTTTCCAAGAGCCCAAGAGAGGACAGATAAGTCCTCCCCCTAGGAAGCTTCAAGAAAGTTATAGAGCTGGAAGATCTAGGACATTCCTTAGATTCCGATTCTAATCAAGTTTACGGGTAAACTGCATACCAAAAACTTGCATAGAAACGAAAACCTAGCAAGCTCTGTTATATAGTCTTATAATAGTCGGTAATAATCTAATAAATTATTGTGTAGAAAGCTCAATAAGACACCTTGTTAAGGTCAAGTACAAGTTATTGCATTAAGTTCAATTAAGTCAAGTTAACTTATAAAATGTACATAATAATGTTTCAATTCCTTCTTATTTGTTATAATGTCCTCTTTTTAACATTTGTTCTTATTCGTCATCCCGTAGAATGCCTCCTGGACCAAAAGGCTCCTCTAAACTGCATCGATTATGAGACAAACAGCTATCAGCCCAACATCGATGTGGTCAGCCAGCCGATAATTCCCGTAACCAAAGTACAATTCCCTGAATCCTCTACTGCTTCTCTGGTTGCTGCCAACGATTATCAGCTCGGAGATTCTCCATCTCTGATCCTGCAGCAATTGACACCACCGCAATCACCGCCCCAATTTGATGTCTACAAACAGCCCGAGCCCGTGCTCGTCAAGGCCGAGCAAAAGGTGGTAAGTTATACCCAAAGCTGCGCTGTTTAGTGAAAGCCTTACTAAGGAAAACTCTTATTATTACAGCAATGCTATACACCCGATGCTGCCCCCGCAGCCACCTTCAACTTCAACAACTGGGTGGGCGGCAGCGAAATTGCACGAGAGATTCAGCTGGTCGATGATATTGTCAACATGCGAGCTAAGGAGCTTGAGTTCTTCAATGACGACTGCGAATCTCAGGCCTCTTCCTCGCTGGACAGCAGCAGCGGCGGCAGTGGAGTGAGCGGCAGCATTGCCGATGCGGACGAAGAGTGGCTCCAGAGCCGATCAGCAGCAACAGCTCTTCACCAGCCCACACGTTCGTGGAGGCCGAGAAGGTGGCAGTGCAAAGCCCAAAGAAGCGTACTCGCACCTACGGGCGCGGCGTCGAGGATCGCAAGATTCGGAAAAAGGAGCAGAACAAAAATGCAGCCACGCGTTACCGCCAGAAGAAGAAGCTCGAAATGGAGAATGTTCTGGGCGAGGAGCAGGTGCTGTCGCAGGAGAACGAAGAGCTGCGCCGCACTCTGCGGGAGCGTCGCAATGAGATGCGCTATTTGCGCCAGCTGATACGCGAGTTCTACCAGGAGCGCAAACGCTAGGCTTTCCCATGTCTTACCTTTAAGTTTTAATGTCTCTTTTGCAAAGTTATAGTTATCGTTAAGCCCCAAGCTTGCCCCCAGTCCCACAACAACACCACAACTTTCTGTAATACACAAATTAACATTCACCAAAAGTTCACCAACAATCAGAAATAATAACAATGTATGCAGCCAGTCTTGGTCCCCATTTTTTGGCACTAATGACGAGTCCTCGTACTCCGAATTTCTCCTTGCCGGTGGGTGCCAATGACTAACTGACATCCAGAGCAGCATAGGCCAATGTGTCGCTTTACTGAGACACCATAATTTGTATAATCAAAAACCCCAAATGAAAACCTTTTTAAGTTGCATAAATTGTTTATAAACGAATTACCCTCTGCTGCGGCTGCTGTACATTATTATGCATGCTTTTATTTTTGGACATTGGTTAGAATCTTGACAAAATAGATTTACTTTAATGTTTCTTTCTTAATAAAACGTATACAGAATATTATTCAACATATGTATCAGCAATAAATCAAAAGGGTTTTCAAAAAAAAGACTATATTTTTTGGATGTTCATTTATTTAAGGACATGGCTCTATGTTTATTTTTTCAGACAAAACAAGAGGTTAACTGGATTAATACCCCTGCAGGGTATTCTAATTTTAGTCAGATGCTTGTAAAACTGTGAAGGAGTCATTTCCGAGCCTATTAACCATATATATTCTTGATCAGCATCAACAGGCCAGTCATTCTAGCCATGTCCGGTCGAAAAATAAATTTTTGAAATTTTTTCAAAAATTGAAAATTTTATAAGGGGTTACATCATTAAAATTGTCAAAATTTAACAACAAATTGATTTTTTTCAATTTGAAAACTGAGTATGCAGATTTGTTAATCTATTAAAAACCATCATAGAACAGCTTTCCGAATTAAAATTAATAAAGTTTTGGCTTAGTTATGAGATTTTTAAAATTTGATTTGTCGCATAAAATTGTCATGTAATAATATCTATATATATTCAAAGATATTCAATCCTATAATTTAATTACAAACTGCAACAGTTTATATACTTTGGCTTTCCAAAGTTAGTTTTCTATATTGTTTTCTGTATTTTAGCTTTGTAAAATATTAAAAACGAAAACTTTTTATTAAATTTCAAGTAGATACCATTAAATTAACTCATATTTACTTATTCCCAACTGATTAAATCGTTTAGTTTAAAAGTTATTGGCGGAGATTAAACTTCGCTAATATGCAATTAACAAGTTTTTGTAAAAGCCAATCCACTGGATCTTGTCAATCCGGCTTCCGTACTCCATGTGGGGCGTGGAGGGTGACAATTAAAGTGACTCCACTAAGTGGAGCACTGGCATAGTATAAGCGGATTATGATTATGTCTACGTACAGACATATGTATATGCATATGTGGGAGTTGCTGGCGCCAAGAGCCTGGCCCTTGGTAAAGGTGCATTAAAATTGAATCAGAGAATGCCAATTAATTGGGGAAATTGCAAAAGCTGAGAAAATAGCCAAAGATGGAGATTGATGCACTCGAAATTGTAACACGGGGGGAGTCGAGTCGGAAGCTGGGAGCAGGGGAGTCTTCGGTCGAGTCGGGGAAACCAAAACAATACAATTTCTCAATGCCCGCACCGAGACTGTGATTGGGGTTGGGATATGGGAATCGGCATGGCCTGCTCTGGGATTTGCACGCCAGGACATTTTGACTGATGAGCCGGCGACGTGAGAGCCACACGACTTGCCTTGGCTCCACTGCCTGGCTGGCTTCTGCTACCCACCATTTTCACTACTAAACTAAATTTTCCACATCGTTAATTTATATTAATATGATTTCTGTGTCAACGGTCGATGCGCTTGCCGTCTAGAGCTTGCCTCCGATGTCGCCGTGTCCTGGGCTCTCTCCGTGCTCCCAGCTCCAACTCCAGCTCCCAGTTCCCAGCTCCGATGTCGCCAATGTCGACTCCCGTCGCGTATGACATGGCGGCAGCGACGCCCATGGAGGTCGCCGGCGCAATATTTATCTAAATTGTTATTTTTTCACACTCACGCAGTTCAATGAATTCGTGAAAATTACGTTTGGGACTTTGTGTTTGCTCTAGCCGCCGCCATCCAAAGCCATCCGACCCATCGCCGGCGACACTCTTCGATTCTTCCGAGTGACTCTTTAAGCGCTTGGTTAAGTATATTGGCATAAAATTCAATTTTCCTCCTTTTGTGTTAATCCTGTTATTAGCTCCCGTCCGCCATCAGAATCCTTTTTGTTCGCTCCCCTTAAATGCCAGCACGGGCATTGGGGAAGCATCGGAGTTTCGCGTCTGGCGGCGGGTCGGAAAATCATCAGATTTTCTGATGAATGGCTTTCCTGAAGCCTAGACTGTGTTTGGGATCGATTTTAAGGGACATATTTGGGCTACATTTTAAAGGGGGATTTATTTTCATTTGATTATTTGTATTGGGCCGACTTGCGGTTCATCTTGATGCTTAGACGAAGGTTTGTACCAGCCAAAGCTAACTAAAGTAATCTATGAAGTCAGGATATAAGTTGGCACTTGATGCCTGTACTTCTGCCCGGAATATTACTAATGGCCTGGTCTTCTCCCTAGTCCATTCCCCTTCCCCATCCAATTATTTTTTGCGGCTTCCGTTTCATATCAATTCACACTCGTAATGCTTTACAGAATCATTTAGCCAGCAAATCTGTTTGTGGAGTGTAAAATAAAACCGCTCGCATGCCACCAATACCCCAGAGTGGTCGAGTGGAGTCGAGGCGCTAACGGAGATGGAAATCAACGTCATCGTTAAATTTAATTAGGCATCAAATGACCAAAGAGCCGAGCTAAATCAAAAGCCAAATGGCCTGAAAGTGACCCAAGTGCAGGCGGGATTCCACCACCCCGGGGCCCAAAGGGGGTCGCTCAACACTTTAAAACACAATTAAAAGTCAAAACGTCACTGTAAATGGAAGCCAGTGGGCAACCCTCTAAGGACCAGAGAGTCGCCAATGAGGCGCCAATGGAGAAAGTGCCGCGGCGGGGCGGAGGACATGGCACTCGTTTTACATAACATTTAACAAAATTATAATGAGACGCAGAACGGATGGGAGGTGGTGGTGGGTGGCCAGGGTCGGAGGTTAACCCCTGGCAAATGTTAATGAGATGGACGTGTGAGGAGTACATTTCATTATTTGTGCCTTCGATTCCATGAGATAATCTCGCCAGGAGCACCCACTGTGGTTATGTAATGGCTTCTACTATGAACACCAAAGTCAGTGATAACCACATTAGGCGTCCATTAGAACAAATTCAATTTGAGTAAAACTGGCTAAAAGAAACTACTACAGCGGGATGTGCATGTAGTACTTATGTAATTATCACGCAACACAAAAATACACAAATTGGTTTATCTCAGCAAGGGACAATGGATCCCATAGATGTTTATAATTACAGAGTGGCGAAAATGGAACTAAAACCTTTAGTTAATGCCACGTAGTGCCGAGTACTTCACAAAAATAACTTATAAATAAATATATACGACCGTACGATTATAACAATCTGCTTTCTATCAAAGTCAGCAATGGATACTGTTGAAAATGTTTATCTACCTTCAAAAAGATTTGTGTATCCAAGACTGCAATTCAAGAAGCAAGTCTCATTTCATATACAAAACTATAGTAATAAAATAATTATTTAATTTATTTTCTTGTATCCCAATTTTATTCAAATTTATTTCCTTTAGGAACAACTTCCAGAGCAAACTAATTTAACAAACCAATTGCAATTGTTTGATTTTTGGCTTCCCACTTTTTCAGCGGTTTTATCTAATCGCATTGAGTGCGAAAAAGTTATTGTACCTTCTTATCGCCAACCAGCACACACACTAGCAACGAGTACCCATTTTCACACATTTTCCATTTTCATTTTCACCTTTTAGCCTGCAGCCATAAAAATAAAGTTAAATAATATGTAAACAATGGCAAGTCAAGCGGGTTGAAAGCCGCTCAAAATGCGGGCCAATTCAATTCAATTGTATGTTTATGCCGTGTAAATGAAACACACACTAGGAAGGGGATGAAGTCAAGGGGGGTAAAGTTTAGGGGGTTAAGTTAACTTAAGTGGAACTGAACATTGTTTTTGATGTTTATTAGCTATTTATAGAAATTTAGGAATGCTCTTAGGGCAGATAGGAGCAAAGCAATGGTAACATTAGAATTTCCTACAATCAAAATATTTAAATGTAAATCTTCTTTGACTAGTCATCAACCCTTTAAAAAGTATGCTAGAATATCCTAGACTCAGTTAAAATTGAATAGCAAAACTGCAACTGAATCTCAATCACTTTACTCAACCGCATTCCTGCCTCTGTACAAATTGTCACAGACAAAATCAAATGCAATTTCACGGCTATTTGAATGGGACAAGAGAAAAACTCTCCTCCTCACTGACGTAATCAATAATGAAATAAATGAGTGCAATTTTCAATTTGCCACGCAGATGAGCCACAAAACAATGTAGAGCGGTGGCATTGCCACTGAAAGAGGCATGCACCAACTGCATTGTGAATGTGGGCTTTAAGCCGAGTGCATACAGTTGGCAATTGGTGGCCTGGGAGTGCATCGTGAAGTATGCAACATGTGCAACAATTAGCGGTATTCCAAGACCCCCTTTCCCCATCGGCATACCTTTGACATTTACACGTAGCCCCCTAAAAGTTCCAGAGTACGTGACATTTGGGCAATTGGCTGTTGGACCTTTTCAAGTGGTAAATGCTGAAAAGCAGAGTTACTGCATCACCTGACTGCCGGCACACTTGGAAAATTCAACCCGTATTATGGTCTGTTTATTTATTAAATATAAGTCCCAAAGTCCATACTCACGAGCTAAAAAATGTACCTGTTCGTACTCTGCAGGCATGTAAACAACGATCAATGCTAATGTTAGCTCTTTCCCCGAATTAATGTGTTAAAAGATCTTCCTCTATTATTACACCACTTTTTCACCAGTGTATTTGGTATGCAGTTAGACAGAATCCTGGGGCAGGCAATTGAAAGAGTTTGCCACAACTCTTCAAGTTTCTCGCCCCTCAATCAAACATTGCTTTCTCTTTCGGAGAAGCTCAACAAATGTACATATAATTAGTCGAGAGCGAAGCGTTCCTCCAGTTATATTCCCCCTCTGGGGTTGTTTTGCCAATTGAGCATTTGAAAAGGCTTCAAAAAAGAACATACTGTCATCCCACAAACATCCTCCTGATGAGCAAACAAAGGCAAATAAAAATCGCGTCACTTGAATCCTTAGGAAAATCAAAAACAATTAAAGTTTGTTCAAGAAAAACAACAAACAGAACTCATCAGCATGCCGCCACCACCCCCTCTCGTTCATGTGTGTAAACATGATCCATTTCCCCACATTCCTCCCGCCACTGGAACCCCATACACACACACACACACACTCGCTCCCACACGCTTTCCTTTCCAAACTTGCACACACTCTCACCGCAGCTAGCCGAGATAAC